AATTTTAAATAAATTAGTTTTAAATGATATTTTATAAGACATTTTGGTTGGTTTTACATTCTCTAGGTTTTCGGATATATGAGAACTTTTCCTTCTGCTCTATTCAGTTGCTTAGAAATTACTTGTTTACATAAACATGAATGCACATGCATACATCTGGGCAAACGTTGTGTGTAGTTGATCACATGTTGAGCAGTTCATCTGTAGAAGTCATTTTGTGGTAAGTTATGAAACCTGAAAAGCTCTGAGTAAATCATAATTAGGGACAACTCAGAAATATTGAGATAATCCTGTGAAATAATTTTCCAGAATTTATTGTTTTATCAGTTATATGGTGATTTACAGGTAAAGTACTATAAAGCATACTGAATTTGTTAATGTTAATTCCTCTTGCATAAATGTAACAAAATACAGTGGTCCTATACTCTATTATTAGAAATAGCTAAATTTTCAAGGAGCTAACTTAAGCAAGAATGTTGAACAGAGAAAATTTATTTTTATCATTTATTAAACATTAAATATATGTGTATATTTTCTTCAGAGAATCAGAGGAGAAAAACAAGGCTTCTCTCCTGAGGAAGAAGAACATGAGGTTGGAATAATTTAAGCATTTACACAGTCATAAATTTGAGAAATATTTTTGCTTAAAATTGTTTTCATCACATCCTGATTTTGCTTGGTTATGTTTCATTTTATTATTCCTTGTGTGTCTGGAAAAAATTTCCAGAGACAGAAGACAAAGGTAGCCTGTGTTGCAAAAGAAGCCCAAGGCTGAAGATTGAAGAACTAAATATGCAACTTTGAGAGGGATTTGGAGACAAGAAAAATCTTGTCAGGTAGGTTGGATGCTAATACCTTGATTTTAGGGATTAACTGCCCATGTTTATTATTTTCTCATCACACAAAAATGTGAAAATAATTTCAGGATATGACCTTTCTTAAAATATTCTTACATGCAGACAGTACTCAGAACCAGATCTCATTCACTTATTAAGTTCCCACATATGATTATACTCCAGATGTAGATGTAAATAAGAGTGATAATCTGTCACAGTGAATTGCTTTTCTCTGGAGAAGAGATGTTGATCAGTCTCTCTTTAGAGGCAAAAAGAGCAATTTGATCTAAGCACTTTGTACAAATGTTATGATGTTTTCTGTCAAACAATAAAGTTTCTAAGCTCTCTTAGCCTATTCTAAATGTTGAAATATGCGTTAAATGCTCTCTCTGGTGAAATAAAGATAGGTGAAAAGATGGCCCAGGAACATTTTATTTGTTGTTCTGTTTTCCTTTCGTTGTTTCCTCTGGTATTTTTTTCTTTTAATCAATCCTAATGCTAAGCAGGAATCTTAGCTGATGCAGCACATAGGCTCTTCCCAACAGTCCAGAAGAAATTGATCAAAGGTCTGGTGAGGTGGGCAAGTGCATGCGTGAACAAAAAGTAAATTTAAAAGAGGCATCAGACTTTCAAGGGACAGTGGCAGAGAGGTCCTTGCCAGTTGTTACAGGGACTTTGTAAGGAAACCCTCTCTGATTTCTTTAAAAAATTGTCTTCTGGTAAAGCCCTGTTAAATTACCTGATAGCACACAAATTAAACATTTCTGAAATAATAAACATATTGATAAAACAACGGTATTAGTGGGTGTCAGATTTTTAAATATTTGCTTCAAAAATTAAACTTTTACCTTTTACAAGTCCCTTGCAAAGTTGCATTTTCAGTTCTTCAATCTTTAGCCTTGGGCTTCTTTTGCAACACAGACTGATTTGTCTTTTCTCTCTAGGAACTCTTTCCGAACACACAAGGGATAATAAAATCAAACATTACCAACCAAAATCAAGATATGATGGAAACAATTTTAAGCAAAAACATTTCTCAAACTTAACACTGTGTAAAGTGCTTAACTTATTCCAACTTCTTGTTCTTCCTCAGAAGAGTAGCCATGTATTCTTCCACTGCTTCTCTGAACAAAAAGTTTACATAGACCTACTGTTTAATTAGTGATAAAAATAAATTTTCTCTGTTCAACATTCATGCTTAAATCCAGGTCCTTGAAAACTTAGCTATTTCTAATTAATACAGGATAGGAAGACTGTATTTTATTAACATTTATGCAACAGGAATTAAAAAGTAAAAAATTCAATCTACTTTATAGTACTTTACCAGTAAATCACCATATAACTAATGGAAGAAATGAATTCTGGAAAATTACTTTAAAGGATTATCTCAACATTTCTTACTTGTTCCTAATTATAAGGTACTCAGAGAGTTTAAGATTTCATAACTTATCACAAATGACTTCTACAGCTGAAATGCTCAACATGGGATCAAATACACACATCGTTTGCCCACATGTATGCATGTGGATTCATGTTTATGTAAACAAACAATTTCTAAGCAATTGAAAAGAGCAGAAGGAAAAGTTCTCGCATATCAGAAAACGTAGAGAATGTAAAACCAACTAAAATATCGTATAAAAGATCATTTAAAATTAATTCATTTAAAATTCACATCGTATATTTCAGAATACATTTACCATTCCAAAGATAATATAAAAATGGGTCAAAAAACTCTAAGTAGATGGGTATTTGCAGCCAATATGTAAGAAACCTCCACAAATCACAGCACGTTTTCTGGGTAGATTTTGTAATTCCCATATGAAGACCACTGTTCCTTAGAGAGTGGAATAAAAGGAGGCCCTGCTCCCAAATATTACTGGGACAGCTGAGATCAAGGAACATTCCCAAGCTAGATTAGATACCAAATAATTCTAAACAGAATTACATTATACTATAAAAATATTAATTTTCCTTACATGACTGACATTAAACTTCTTTATGATACCAAGCCCACCATCATTTCATACCATGACTAACTCATACCTTGTAATCTGTCCTTAGGTAACCAAGAGACAGCTAAATCAGTCATTGAAAAGAATAAATTTATGAACTATCAATCTGTTTCCCTTATGTGGCAATCAGTGTGTTTTAATTTATTAGGAAAGTTATTAGGAAGAAAAATGAAGACGATATCCAGAAAAGATTTTAATTGCAGACTCAACACCTACAATTCTTTCTTCAAAAGAAGAATACTGAGACTTGCTCCTCCAAATGTCAGTCAGGACCCCCAATCAGTGGCATCCACTGAGTGCCTACCAGAAATACAAAATTTCAGGCTCACTCCAACACACGAATTACGATCTGTCTTTTAACAAGAATCCTAAGTATAGGAACTACATATAAGTTAGGGACACCACTGGAGCCACTCAAGGGGTTATGAGGATGGGACGAGTAGGCTCCCTCCAGCCCTAGATGTGCCACAGGATCAAGGGCTCTTGGAGGAAATTGATTGTAGGCATGTTGTGCCCGTTTTTTTTTCTTGAGGAGTGACCACCCTGGGATGAGCAGGTGATTATGACACCTGCAGGTGGGAGCCAGACCCCAGTACACTGAGGCTTTGCAAAGCACCAGGAAAACAAAGAATGCGGGGCACCAAAGCCCCCAAACTGAGCCAAGCGCAGACCCACCAGCAGAAGATAACCGCGCTGGAGTGCACTGGCCACACTCGTGTCAGAATGTCCCATCCACACAAGCACGCAGACACTCATCAACACACTCAGAAAAATAAATGCACACACACACACACACACACACACACACACAGACACACGGAGACATCCAGCACTCGGGAAACACACACTGCCAGGCAGCTCCTGAGGCTGCAGGTTTCTGCTCTCTGCCAGGAAGCCCCTCAGTGACAGGGCAGCCCTGCCACAGGCAGGCAGCCCATACCTGGAAATCCCAGCCGGGAGGGCTTTCAACGAGAGGCACCTTCACACTCTCTGGGCATACCTGAAGCATCGTGGGGATACTTGGGAATCGCCGTGGACATCCTTGACTCCCCGCCAGATCTTTTTCTGCCTGGTTTGGACTGCCTGATTTCTTAAATCGCAGGACTCGGCGATGATCCCGTGAGAAAGGATCCGTGACCAACGCTGAGGCACCACTACCACAGAAGGCCACTGCTTTGGTAAGCCGCTGACATCGTTCCCCAGGCAACGGTGACTGTCACTGTGACGTGAGCCCCGGCTCAGCGCTGGCGCTTGGGACAGCCGAATTGCACATGCGCTTTTGCGTGCCCAGCTGGGGAGCCGCAATATTGGCGCTGTCCAGCTGCTGCCGCACAGGTGCAAAGTAGAGTCGGTGGCAGGGGCGCCGCTTAGAAGAAGGCTGCATGCCAGAAGCAGTGTAGGACATTGACAGTCCTTACCTCAGTACCTCCTTGAGCCCACTCTTCGGTTCTGGTCGGAGGAGGAGGAGGGCGTTTCAGACCTGGAAGCCCACACTCCAGGTTTCAGCAGTACGTTTCCTGGCCACATTAGCTTACTGCCACTTTTCGACCAGGGCCACCCACCAAGGGGTCCTGCCTTGATCTTCAAGCCCAGGGACTCCTGATTCTCAGCACTATCATCTGGACATGGAGGGAACAATCACAAAGAGGTAAGCCCAGTGTGCAGCAGAGGTGGCAACACCTGGAATTGACTTCCCATGGGGGCCTATCAGGTTTAGAAGGTGTCTCTGAAGTTTTCTGTGGTGAATCCAAGCCTGAGACAAATGTTGAGAAATGCGGCTGAGAACCCCCAAGAAAGCCAAGCATAAGAAGATCACATCTGCGATCTGTGCCACAGTCCAAGCCTCCTTCAGTGATTCCTCCAGAGAAGCCAGGAAGAGCCTGCTAAAGGGGAAACTGCCCCAGCCCCAACACCGGGATCACTACCAGCCACCTGGCATGCACCCAGTCTCTTTAGCTCCGTGAAATCCCTGTCATTCAACAGGTTCAATGTTGGTAAGACCTGTAGGTCCTATAGCAAAAAGACCTCAATCAAACTCATAACACACACACACACACACACACACACACACACACACACACAAATTAGTCCTGATAAATGATAATTGGTTAATCCTACAGTAAAAAAGACCTGAATCAATCTGGAATTTCAAGGACAATTAGTAAGACACAGCAGATACTCATACAGGTTTAAATAATTAATAAGAGGATTACAAGCTCTCTGTTTTAACTACTGTTTCAAATTAATCATGCTCAACCCCACATCAACATCCCCCAAATTTTCTTGAATTAAATTCTTCTTCATTATAGAAGATTGTTATTGTTTTCTTTATGTTGTGTCATTTACACTATTGTATTAGACTCATGCTTGGGGTGTCATTTTTGCCACGTTGCAAAAGTTATACGGCAGTCAGAATTATTCGTGTGTATCTCCTGAACATGGAACTACTTAATACTTTACCCTATATTTTTGAAAACTTAACTTTCAGGATAGCTCCCAAGACATTCTTCATAAACTACCTTAAAAATATTAGACAAGACCGGGCACGGTGGCTCACGCCTGTAATCCCAGCACTTTGGGAGGCCGAGGTGGGTGGATCACGAGGTCAAGAGATCGAGACCATCCTGGGCAACATGATGAAACCCCGTCTCTACTAAAAATACAAAAAATTAGCTGGGCACCGTGGCGTGTGCCTGTAATCCCAGCTACTCAGGAGGCTGAGGCAAGAGAATTGCCTGAACCCAGGAGGCAGAGGTTGCAGTGAGCCGAGATTGCGCCATTGCACTCCAGCCTGGGTAACAAGAGCAAAACTCCGTCTCAAAAAATATATATATATTAGACAATTACTTTCAAATTTCTTAGATTTGTTGAAGATTTTCTCCTTCTCTACTATAATTTTCACTCGATCTTTCTCACTGGTGGTATTAAAAAAACTCATACCATTTAAGACTTCATGCCATTTTTTGAGAAATTAAGACAAGTGACATTCTCAATAATGAAAATAGATAACATGATTTGGATGTAAATATTTAAAAACGTAATAACAACCAATATATTTGTTTTATCAAAAAAGTTATTCTTTTTGAGATCAATATATAAATTTGGAGGTAAAAATTTAACTTTTGAAGTAAACGTTTAAAAACCTGACAACAGTAATATCTTTGTTATATCAATATGTTTATTATTTCAGAAATATTTAATTTGTGTGTCCTCAGTTAATTTAACAGGGCTTTCCCAGAAGACAAGTTTTTAAAGAAATGAGAACACATTCCTTTACAAAGTCCCTGTAACACCTGTAAGAACTTTTGTACCACTGTCCTTTAAAAGTCTGATGACTCTTTTAAATTAGCTTTTTTGTTCACCCATTCACTTGCCCAATTCACCCAGAGCTTTTATCAGTTTCTTCTGGACTGTTGTGAAGAGCCTATGTGCTGCATCACCTAAGATTCCTGATTAGCATTGGGACTGATTAAAAGAAAAAAAAATACTAGAGGAAACAAAGATAAGAAAACAGAACAAAAAATAAAATCTTCCTGGGCCATCTTTTCACCTTTCTTTATTTCACTAGAGAAAAACATTTAACCCAAATTTCAACATTTAGAATAGGCTAAGGGAGCTTAAAAACTTTACTGTTTTGACATAAAACATCATAACCATAGTACAAATTACTTAGATCAAATTGATTTTTGGCCTCTAAAGAGAGGCATTTGTCAACATCTCTTCTCCAGAAGTAAGCAATTCACTGTATCAGATTATCACTCTTAGGTACATCTATTCAGAGTATAACCATGTGTGGGAGCTTAATAAGTAGATGAAATCTGTTTCTGAAGTACTGTTTCCACTAAAGAATATTTTAAGAAAGGTCTTCTCCTGCAATTATTTTCACATTTTTACTGTGATGAGAAAATAATTAACATGGACAGTTAATGCCTAAAGACAGGGTTTTCTCATCCAACTTACCTGACAAGATTTTCCTTATCTCCAAGTCCCTTGCAAAGTTGCATATTCAGTTCTTCAATCTTCAGCCTTGGGCTTCGTGTGCAACACAGACGACCTTTGTCTTCTCTCTCTAGGAACTCTTTCCAGACACACAGGGATAATGAAATGAAACATAACAAATCAAAATCAGGATATAATGAAAACAATTTTAAGCAAAAATATTTCTCAAACTTAACACTGTGTAAAGTGCTTATCTTATTTCAACCTCATGTTTTTCTTCCTCAGGAGAGAAGCCATGTTTTCCTCCGCTGTTTCTCTAAGAAAAAATATACATATATCTAATGTTTAATTAATGATAAAGATCTATTTTCTCTGTTCAACATCCTTTCTTAAGTTTCGGTCCTTGAAAACTTAGCTATTTTTGAATAATACAATATAGGACTACTGTATTTTGTTAAGACTTATGCAACAATAATTAAATAGTAGCAAATTCTATATACTTCATAGTACTTTACCTGTAAATTGATGGAAGGTATACAATTGATGGAAGAAATGAAATCTGAAAAATTATTTAAAGGATTATCTCAACATTTCTTAATTGCTCCTAATTATGATTTACTCAGACAATTAAGGTTTCATAACTTATCAGAAATGACTTCTACAGCTGAAATGCTCAACCTGGGAGCAACTACACACATCATCTGCCCACAAGTATGAATGTACATTCATGTTTCTGTAAACAATTTCTAAGCAACCGGAATAAGCAGAAGAAAAAGGTCTCACATATCCAAAACTTAGAGAATATAAAACCAACCTATATTTCTTATAAAAGATCATTTAAGGGACCGACTCAAGATGGCATGGTGAGAACAACTCAGGATTGAAGCTCTCAGTTAATGCGCAGAGCGGGAGTCAGGGCCGCATTTCCAGATGGATCTTTGTTGCCCACAGAACGGAGAAATTCCCAGATACAGAAGAGACGTGGGATGCCAGCAAAGCGGTTTTGGCTGGTGCAGTGGGCAGCGCTCCACAGCGCTCCACACAAAGTGCACTGGTCCAGGTGCCCTGTTGAACCAGCAATCTGAGACTTGAGAGGGCAGATTGGCATATCCATCTGATTGAATGGGACTTGGACAGTGAGCCGGGCTAGGAGATTCCAGGGAAACGGAATTTGGGCCAGGGCAGTGGGACAAAAAAAACGGCGATTCCAAATTGCTCCGGGTGGAGAGTTTCACTGCAGGCACAGCTGAACCCAGGACGGTGCAGCTCGGTGGGGAGGGGGCGTTTGTCATTACTGAGGCAACCCGCCCTACTGAGGCACACTCCCAATGCTGAAGCAACCTGCCATTGCCGAGGCAATCCGTCACAACAGAGAGACCCACGGCAGGGTGTAGCCCATGGCAGCAGGGCGGAGACTGCAGCAAAAGGGCAGAGCCTGCAGCAACAGGGCGGACCTAACACCAGCAGGGTGGAGCCTCGGCAGGCAAATAGTGACTAGACTGCCTCCTAGCTGGGCAGAACAGCGCAATGGACACATAAAGAAAACCCCAACCCCCCGAGACAGATCATCTGAGCAAAAAAGGGGATTTTTAATGAGTTCTGCTGCAGCAGAATTAAACATAGCAGCCTAACAGCACTAAATAAACAGCAGAGCTCACAGCTCAGCACTTGAGCTCTTATGAAGTACAGACTGCCTACTCAAGCAGCTCACCGACCACTCTATATCCAGAAGACTTATATGTGTCAGGCATCATTCTGGGACAAAGATAGCAGAAAAAAAAACTGGTAGCATCCCTCACTGTTCCACAGCTGCTATAGGTGCACCCCAGACAAGCAGGGCCTGGAGTGGACCTCAGCAGTCATACAGTGAAGGGGCTAGACTGGTAGAAGGAAAACCAAGTAACAGAAATACTTCATCATCAACAATCTGGGCGTCCACTCAGAGACCCAATCAAAAAGTCAGCAACTACTCAGACAACAGGTGGATAAATCCACAAAGGTGGGAAGAAACCAGCGCAAAAAGGAGGAAAACACCCTAAAAACAGAACACCGCGACTCCTACAAAGGACCCAAACTCCTCACAAGCAAGGAAACAAAGCTGGATGGAGAATGACTGTGCTGAAATGACAGAATTAGACTTCAGAAGGTGGATAATGAGAAACTTTTGTGAGCTAAAAGAACATGTTTTAAATCAATGCAAAGAAACTAAGAACCTTGAAAAAAGATTTGAAAAAAAAATCGAGGAAATAATAACAAGAATGGATAACTTAAAGAGGAATATGAATGAATTGAAGGAGCTGAAAAACACAATACGAGAACTTCGCTAAGCATGCACAAGTTTCAACAGCCGAATTGACCAAGCAGAAGAAAGAATATCAGAAGTTGAAGATCAACTCAATGAAATAAAACGAGAAACCAAGATTAGAAAAAAAGTGCAAAAGAAATGAACAAAGTCTCCAAGAAATGTGGGACTATGTGAAGAGACCTACCCTACGTTTGATAGGTGTACCAGAATGTAACGAAGAGAATGAATCCAAGCTGGAAAATACTCCTCACGATATTATCCAGGAAAATTTCCCCCACCTAGCAAGGAAGGCCAACACTCAAATGCAGGAAATACAGAGAACACCACAAAGATATTCCGCAGAAAGAGCAACCCCAAGGCACATAATCATCAGATTCACCAGGGCGGAAATGAAGGAGAAAATACTAAGTGCAGCCAGAGAGAAAGGTCGGGTCACCCACAAAGGGAAGGCCATCAGACCCACAGCAGATCTCTCGGCAGAAACACTACAAGCCAGAAGAGAGTGGGGGCCAATATTCAACATCCTTAAAGAAAAAAACTTTCAACTCAGAACTTCATATCCAGCCAAACTGAGCTTCATAAGTGAAGGAAAAATAAAATCCTTTGCAAACAACCAAGTACTCAGAGATTTTGTCACCACAGGCCGGCTGTACAAGAGCTCCTGAAAGAGGCACTACACATAGAAAGGAACAACCAGTACCAGCCACAACAAAAACATACCAAATGGTAAAGAGCATCAACAAAATGAAGAATCTGCAACAACTAAAGGGCAAAACAGCCAGCTAGCATCAAAATGGCAGTATCAAATTCACACATAACGATATTAACCCTAAATGTAAATGGACTAAATGCACCAATCAAAAGACACAGACTGGCAAATTGGATAAAAAACCAAAACCCATCAGTGTGCTGTATCCAGGAAACCCATCTCACATGCAAGGATACACAACGGCTCAAAATAAAGGGATGGATGAAGATTTACCAAGCAAATGGACAGCAAAAAAGAGCAGGAGTTGCA